AATCTCAGCGACAATAGAAAGTAGGACTGAATTATAACCACAAATATAAATATCTGAGTCATGCTGATAGAAATGGTTGAGTAAATAAAAATTGGAGGAGAGCCCTGGCCGCTTGGCTCAGTGGATAGAACGTTGGCCTGTGGACTGAAGGGTCCCAGGTTCAATTCCTGCCAAGGACACATGCCTGGCTTGCAGGCTGGATCCCCAGTAGGGGGTGTGCAGAAGGCAGCTTATCAATGATTCTCTCTCATCATTGATGTTTCTATCTCTCTCTCTCTCTCCCTTCCTCTCTGAAATCAATAAAGAAATATACTTTAAAAAAAATTGGTGGAGACAAATAAGTCCCTCCTGCAGAAGATTCCAAATAACCTATGTAGTATTGCACGTAAAGGAGGGAAGAATAACACCCTGTGCCCTGAGTGGGGCCACTTGCCACAAGGAGTAGTAATTTTATAGTGGAGAATGCTGACAAAAACTATTTCAGTGAGAGTCTTAAATTATGTTGATAGCTTATGCCTTTAATATGATAAAAAAAAATGGCACTTCACCTTCATAATCTTCCTCTAAAAAAACCACATAAACCCTGGCTAATCATAAGAAAAACATCAGACACCCTGGCTGGTGTGGGTCAGTTGGTTGGGTGTCCTCCCATGCACCTATGAGTTGCTAGTTCGATTCCTGATTAGGGCACATGCCTGGGTTTTGGGCTCAGTCTTCAATGGGAAGTGTGCAGAAGGCAGCCAATCAATGTTCTACTCGCAGGTTGATCTCTCTCTCTCTAAAATCAATTTTTAAAAACATTTTTTTTAAAATACAATACCTCAGGGTTTATCAATTGACCCCAAGAGCCCTTAGGTTAACCAGATATTCATGGTGCATGGAGGGTGCTAGCCTGTGATTATGAAGACCTGGGTTGACATATTCAGCTCCATCACCTTCCAATATTGAGAGCTGCTACTCATAACTTAACCTTCCAAAGCCTTATTCTCCTTACCATGTAAGGAGTATTCCTTGGTTATTATTAAATGAAGTAAAGTGGACACAGAGTAGATGCTCAATGGATGGCCTGGAATCTGTCACATTTGAATTAACTTGGTAGCTAACTAGATCAAGCACTTACTTTGTGTAAGTCCTTTATTCACACTGTCTTGGTCTTCCCATCAGCCCTGTGACCAGAGGGAACGCTCTGTGCACTCAGCCAAACCGGTTAGGGCCTAATGTGATCTTGGAACATAAAAAGGACATTGAGTAAAAACTGAGGAAATCTGAGTAACAGATTTATTAAATAATGTATAGGCATTGATTCATTAACTGTAACAAATGTACCACAGTATTGTAAGGTATTAATAATAGGGGAAACCGTGAATGAGGTAGCATGGGGGTAGTTATATGGGGGGAACTCTCCCAATTCTCTGATCAAATTTTTAATCTAAAACTATTCTAAAAAATAAAGTATCACTAAGTGTAATAAAATAATAAATAAGAGAAGGTGTCAACGAAGAATAGAAGAATGAAAAAAATTGGAAATATAATCTATTTTTAAAAACAGTCTACAATACAGTGCAATATAAAACTAACAATTCTATAAACCAGTACATGATAATTTAAAGCAGGAAGGTTTAACATTTTTTAAATTATAAAATATGTTCTTATAGAAATTCACAAAGCATATTTGTACAGCTTAACTTACACTTATTAAGAACTATTCACATCTATTAATAACCATAGAGTGAACAAAGTAGAACCACATCCCAGGTCAAGAAACACTCTATTGCCAGTCACTCGGTATCTGACTCAGGCTCCTCTTTCGGGAGCACTGCCTCATCTGCCTTTGCTACTAACCCTGTCCGATCTACAAGCATATTAATTTCAGTAAACAATACGAAAGTAAAACTGTACCCATTTTTTTTAAACTTTATAGGACCTTTAAAAATAAACCTTTAAGAAGAGAATGTTTTCATGTACCCGTTTGTGTGTATTTTTCCTTCGTTTGTGTCACGCACAGAGCTGGACTTTGTTTTGTGGGCTGCATTCAATTGTATAGACCAGGGGGTCCTCAAACTACGGCCCACGGGCCACATGCAAATACAAATATTGTATTTGTTCCCGTTTTGTTTTTTACTTCAAAATAAGATATGTGCAGTGTGCATAGGAATTTGTTCATAGTTTTTTTAAAAACTATAGTCCAGCCCTCCAACGGTCTGAGGGACAGTGAACTGGCCCCCTGTTTAAAAAGTTTGAGGACCCCTGGTATAGACCTTGCTACTGCCACTGAGCCTTTGCGTTGTTTCCTTTTCTGACCTCTTACTCCGCTGTTGTGAACATCCTCCCACACATCTATTGGAGTACCCCGCACCAGTACCTACAAATTAAGCTCTTGGTCATAGATCATGTGAATTCAAATTTTACCTTGCTACTGTTTCTCAACAGTTTTCACCAATTACACACTCACTAGCTTCACAGGAGGGTACTCACTGCTCTTCACTTTTTTATTCGGTGCTTCATATGCCTGAGGGTTACTGAAATTCTGTAAGGGAGGGCTGGGGCCAGGGGAAAGGTGGTTAGCTTCTTTGAAATGTTTCCTTCTGTATCCAAACTATCATTTTTAATTTCCAAAATTTATTCTGAGTTTGTCCACTCTGTGCATCTTCAATAGTAAAGACTACGTCAAAATAACCATCAACTCTCCCTGTATCACTTAGATATTCTAAGTGCTTCTCCCTCCTTGTTCAAAGAGCTATGCTGATTGAATATGGATGTCACATCATCTCAAGTGCTGTTTTAAATTGCCAATGCCTTATTTCAAGTTGAAAAATATTCAAATACAGCCCTAGCTGGTTTTGCTCAGTGGACAGAGAATCGGCCTGCGGACCAAAGTGTCCTGGGTTCGATTCTGGTCAAGGGTACATACTTGGGTTGTGGGCTCAATCCCCAGTAGGGGGCATGCAGGAGGCAGCCGATCAATGATTCTGTATTATCATTGATGTTTCTATCTCTCTCTCCCTCCCCCTTCTCTGAAATCAATAAAAACACTTAATAAATTAGTGATTAAAAAAAAAGAAAAATATTCAAATACCTAATATGAGTCACAAGGTTCTATGGTTCTTCTTCTATTCTATGACTCATACAAACAAGCTTCCTTTCTATTCCACAGTAGAGCTATAACATTTGCTGTTTTCTCTAAGTGGAAACCAACTCCTTTTGTCAATTGGGTCTCAGAAAGGTCTCCTGCTCTGAGCTTTCCCTGATCACCAGAACCCACGCCAGCCCCTGCCAATTCTGCCCTACTGACCCATCCCCACATATTACCAATTGGAATAATCTTCTTAATGTATTTAATGGATTTGTTTATTGAAATGAATCAGGGAATTAACCACATAAAATATACATATAGCCCGACTGGAATGGCTCTGTGGTTGAGCATCTACCTATGAACCAGGAGGTCACGGTTTGATTCCCGGTCAGGGCATATGCCTGGGTTTTGGGCTCGATCCCCTGTTGGGAGTGTGCAGGAGACGGCTGATCAATGATTCTCTCTCATCATTGATGTTTCTATCTCTCTCTCCCTCTCCTTTCCTCTCTGAAATCAATAAAATATATAAAAATATAAAAATATATACATACATATAGCTTTGAAACAGCAAGAAGACTTGAAGAGAAAAAATTTGGATGATGGTACTTTTGTCCTCTGCTTGCTCATGTCCCCCAGCAAGTCAGGTACCACTGCTTAGCCCAGTGCCAAATGATTTCCACACAGTCATCCTGAAGATAATGTCTGTACATCCAATTCCCCAGCCAGGCAGTCAAGCAGAACCCCACAACCATCCCCAACTTCATTCACCAACTCCACACAATTTTACTAGGCCATAAAAATATGTTTTGCTTAAAATGTTTTGATATAATTACTAAGACAAGTGCAGAAATCAATAACCTCAAACCCTCAATTGGTTGAATGAACAATATTAGAAAAAAAGTCAGATATCGGTTACCTTTAGTATATTTGTGAACAAATACTGGTGATAGCATTTTAAACATATCAATGACTCAGAAAGATCATAACTGTTTTTTGAGTATCTGCTGACCTAATTGGTCAAAGGGGCCTGGTTTAGCAGGAGAGGGTGTTGGGTGGGGGAAGAGTAGAAAGAGAAGAAAAGGGAGGGAGACTGGAGGGGAACCAAAGCCCAGGATTCTTCTGAAGATGGGCAACCTCCACAGCTGTTCCAGAGGATGGGAGTCTGGGATATATCCGGCTTTGGCAAACTCAGCAGAACCTTCAGGGTGCACATGGACACGGGGTGTCCAGTGGGTGAAAGCTCAGTTGGCCACACAGGAGTTAGCAGTGTCCAAGGACATTCCAGGGTCGGGGAGAAAGAATAAACTATGGCGAACTTGTTAAATACCAGGAACTCAGCCTGTCCAGAGGCAACAACAGGGGAACTCTCATGCAAGACCAGTGACTTACAAACTTGCTCACAGCTTTGAGATGTAAATGTGGCCAGGCTCAATGAATCTCCACACAAAAGAACATGTAGAACAAACGTAGGTGTCCCCTGGGTTTAGGGGACGGGAGCACAGCAGCACCCAGAAGCCACCTTAGGATGCTGGGACCAGCAGTGCTGGGCTGTCCATGGAGGGTTTGTCCTCAGGCACAGGCTGGGTTTTGGGATCCGGAGCTGTGAGCACTGCGCCCACTAGGCGGCGCCTCTTAGCCGGGACCTGAACAATGGACTCTTGAGTCCCCTGTTCCCGAGGACGACGACCACTTGCACCATCACGTGTGCCAGTTGGCTGGAGACCCTGGGCAGATGGGCCCGAGGGTGGCTGTGAGGATGGGTTGGGCTTTGAGGAGCAGAGGGCCGCGGCAGCCGCGGGCTGTGCAGCAGAGGCAGAACCATGGCCTAGCGAGGGGCGCAGGCATGGCTTGCGCACAAGGGCCGCAGATCTCCAGGCCGCCCTGCCCTCCCTCCAGACACTCAGCTCCTGGCTGCCCGGCGCCGTGGGCTCCACGTGGTCCACAACAGTCCGGTCCTGCCCGCGTTTCCACAGCTCATAGCGCTCGGGCTGCAGGAGGCGCACGAACACGTCCATGGAGAAGCTCACCCGGGCCTCCCCGCAGCTGCACTGAGAGGCCACTTTGCCATAGTCGACCCATCGCGGGGTGGCAAAGTTGATGGCCTCCGCACAGTTGAAGCCATGGTTGAAGCCAGCGTGGTAGCCATAGGGAAAGGTCACCATGAACTCTCCAGCCTCCTGAGTGATGCGACTGAACGGGACCCCGTTCTCCTTGAGGACAGTGGGCGAGATGAGGGCCACCTTGTGCCGCAGGAAGGCCTGGCAGCCCCGAGAGCTGCCCGGGAAAAGGTCCCTGGCCAGGCGCTCCAGGCGCTGGCCGTGCTCTGGGGGCACCGCGTACCACGTTTTGGGCTCCCCGAAGTGCAGGTAGTTGATGCTGTAAAGGTCCATGTCCTCCGTGTGCCAAGCGAAGGTGGTCTTCCACATGCCAAAGTACAGGTAGGGGGTGTTGACGCCTTCGATGACAACCCCACACTCCTGCTCCAGCAGGTCCTGGATGGTTCCCAGGTGGCCAAGGTTCCATTGTTTAGTGTTGGCATCAAATAAGGAGCCACTGATGTCAGCGCCATATATGGGCGAGTCGTACAGGCGCGTTTTCCAGTATTTCCGCTCCAGATCCTCAAAGTCCAAGTGTGGTGGAGTCTGATACTGCCCACTATTTGCCAACAGGCGATACTCGCCCACTGTCATGGCCCTCTTCTTTTTGTGGTATTGAATGAACACACCTGCTCGCCCAGACGCCACCTGCTGGAGGGGATTGGCTATCACCATGTCATTGACATCATCGTAGGTCTGTCTGGCTTTCCATTCCTTTGGTGGAATGATCTTAGCCAGGCCAGCTCGGTGAGCACCTTGGGATTCTATGGAAGCAATATATTTATCGAAATCATTAAACTCTTCTTTGGTTGGATAAAATATCATTATGTTACAATTTGGATTCTGGGCACAATTAGCCTTAGACTTTATAGCTTCCATCAATAAGCAAACTCCAAAGATTTTAAGTATGTTAGATAGTTGAGGACGCTGGAAAAACGCTTTTTCAAAAATGGATTTGAATATCTATGAGGTAGGAGGAGCTTATGTGATAAGTCATCAAGCTATTATGACTTTTATGCAAACTAGATGGTAATGTTTATTAGGCCTGCTGATTCACCAGGCGACTCCACTCCTGTGATATTCCTCAGTTGGCTCTCCTCTGGAGTGCTACTGAATTATGAAGTCCTGGCTGTGGTATACCAAGTGTAGTGTCTTCTGATCAGTCTTTAAAGCAAAATCTGTAAGAAAAAATACAAAAAGGTTAAAATATTTAGAAAAAGTTATTGGAGAACTACAAATAAAATACCACCATGGGATATTATTGAAAATTCCAAGAAAGGCTACCATTTTATAACTTTACAATAAGAGAGATGGTGTGGATGTGGAACAATTGGAATTTTTATACCTCAGCAGAGAGAATGGAAATTATTACATTCACTTTGGAAAATGATTTGGACAGTATCTATTAAAATTGAGCATATGCATTGTGTAAAAGAGAACATATACAAGTGCTATGATCCAACTGTTATCACATGCAAGGAAATGTGTCCAGCTGTTCACTGAAAGTCACATTCAAGAATGTTCATAACTACACTATTTCTAGTAGCCAAATACTAGGAACAACTCAAATGTCCATCACAGCAGAATGGGTAAATATATTGTGGTGTAGTCATACAATGGAATACAGTGTATCAATTAAGATAAACAAAAACTACATTTAAATAAAGGAATAATTTAATAAGCATAACAATGAGCAAAATTATGCATACTTAAAATAAGGTAATCTATGTTAGAAGTCAGAGTGATTACCTTTGGGAAAGAAAGAGGTTGTGAGACCCCCTTACCTTTGGGGGTTAAAAGGGGTCTCTGGAGTGATGTTAATATTCTGTTCTGAACCTAAGTGCTAGTTACACAGCCATCAAAATAGCTAATGTGATAATTCATCGAGCTATTATGACTTTCATAAATTGACATATGTTTATTTAAAAATAGAGTTTAGGCCTGGCTGGTGTTGCTCAGTGGTTGAACGTTGACTTAGGGTCAAGGTTCAATTCGGGTCAGGGCACATGCCTGGATTTCGGACTTTATCCCCAGTAGGGGGAGTGAAGGAGGCAGCTGATCAATGATTCTCTCTCATCACTGATGTTTCTCTCCCTCCCTCTCCCTTCCTCTCTGAAATCAATAAAAATATATTTTTTTTAAAATAGAGTTTAGGGTGAAAAGCATTCAAGAACAGTAAAAGACATATTTCATTATATTAAAAGTAAAAGGATGCATGATTGAAAATAAATGAACTGAACATTCAATTGAAGGGAAGAAGAGTATAGAAATAACAAAAATAAAGATGTTATTAATGAAAGATAATACATGCAAAACAGAGATGATGACCAAAATGTTCTTTGAAGAGACTAATAAAAGCAACAAATCTGAGCAAAACTGATCAAGAGAAAGGATAGAAGGTAAAAATAAACAATATTAGGAATTGAATAGTACACTAAGCTAGTAATATAATAAGGAATATATTAAAATATATTAAATATAAAAATATATACATACATATATACAAACATCTCAAATGTCAATGTTTGCAATTTGCATCAAAATTTTGAAAAGAGAACAGAACAATTTTCTAGAGAGGAAATATATCCAAAATGAACCCAAGAAAAAACATAAACCTTGAATACACCAGTATAAAAATCTGATTTAAAATATGACCCCTAAAAACTCATTTTTCACATCATTTTATAGGTGAGTCTAACAAATTTTAAAGAAACAGTTAAGTCTTATTATGGAAGTTCTTTCAGGGTACAGAAAGTTGGGAGAGCTACTCAGAGGAGGTTATTATCTCTGATAGCAAAATCAGAAAAGGACAACAGAAAAAAACGCTACAGGCCATTTTGATAAGTGTAAACGAAAGCATGCTAAATAGAATACTATCCAATCAAATACACCAATATATTAAAAGAATACTACATCATAACCTAATAGGATATATCCCAGGAATGCAAGGATGAATTCAACATCAGAAAATCAAATGATCTAATTCAGAGTGTTAATGAAGGAAGTGAACATTTTCATCTTGTAGGTACCAAAAAGTACTTGAAACTCAACATCCATTCATGAGTTTAAAATTCTCTAGTTATAAAACATTAAGAAAAACCACACAATGCAATTTACGGATGAGGTATCATAGAACTGTACACTTGAAACCTATATAACTTTATTAATTGATGTCACCAATAAATTTAATTAAAAAGGAAAAAAAAGACTTCTATAAGGTACAGGGTTTCATGTAAAAAATAAATAGCGGGCCCTAGCCGGTTTGGTTCAGTGAATAGAGCCTGCGGACCGAAGGATCCCGGGTTCAATTCCGGTCAAGGGCACATACCTCAGTTGCAGGCTCCTCCCCGGCCGGGGCCCTGGTTGGGGCTCATGCAGGAGACAACCAATCAATGTGCTTCTCTCACATCTATATTTTTCTTTCCTTTTCTCTTCCACTCTCTCTAAAAATCAATGGAAAAATATCCTCAGGTGAGGATTTAAAAATACATACATACATAGCATTGGCCCCTGTGGCTCAGTGGATTGAGCGCCGTCCCATGCACGAAGGGATCACTTATTTGATTCCCTGTCAGGGCACAGGATCCCCAGTGGTGGGCATGCATGAGGCAGCCAATCAATGTTTCTCTCTCTCTCGTCCTCTCCTCTCTATCTAAAAATCACAAAAACATATTTAAGAAAAAATAAATAGCATGTAACATTCTTTATTTTAATCCTCACCGAACGATATTTTTCCATTGCTTTTAGATAGAGTGGAAGGGAGGTGGAGGGAGTGAGAGGAGAGATAGACACATCAATTGGTTGCCTCCCGAATGCGCCCCTACTGGCGGGGAATCAAGCCTGCAACCGCAACCAAGGTACATGCTCTTGACCTGGAATTGAACCACCACCCTTTGGAGTGGGGGGAGTGGAGGAGTGGGGGCAAGGGGGCATGCTCTAATCACTGAGCAACTGGCCAGGGGGCAAGTATCATACATAATAGTAAAACAAAAGAAATATTCTCACCGAAGTTAAAAAGATACATCAGCAAACTATTTCATTAACGCAATCTCAAGTGGTCCCTTAATACCCGTTTGCTAATCCTCTTACAATCTCCTAATTTCTAAGGTTTTCCATTCTCCAAATATTCTATTTCACCTTCCCCTCTAAAACTTCCAGAACACCTCCTCCATCTAGTTAGAATCCTTCAAATGTCCTTGAAGTCTCTACATGATCTGGTCCACCATTACCTTGTGACTTTACCTCTTCCTGCTCCACCCCTTGCCTCTCAGTTCCAACCATCTTCCTGTTTCTCAAATAAGCCCGGTATTCTGCCTGATGGTCTTTGCACACAGGCAACTCTCTTACCTTCTTAGCCTCAGCTCAAGTATCACCTTCTCGGAAAGATCTCCTCTGATGGCCTTGTTTTCTCTCAAGAAAACATCTCCAAATAAAACATGTATTGACGATCAGAGCCCATGAGTGTCTCTTGAAATTCTAGTCAGATCCGCCCCACCCTAATTATATTATCCCTAGTCCACTTACAATGGAATCCAATCAACTATATAAGCTTCTCTTCCAACTGAACCACCCTCCCTTTGTTCTAGTAAACTTATTTTCAATCTTATCACAAAACATGGGTATTTTACTTAATTTTTTTTTCTTTGAGATTTCTTACAAGAAAATATAGGAGAGAAAGGACTGCCATCCCTCAACAAGTCTGAAATATTTTTTACTCTTTTTATTTTTTTTGAAATCATATTTTTTTAAATAAAATAATAATAAAAACAATTTATAAGCGTAAACAAACAGCTTCCTCCACAGTCAGAGCTACAGTGCCTGGGGGAGTCGCTAAGAACTTGGAGGGGTTAATGCCCAGCTCCCTAGTACAAGTAAAATCACTTAGCCTTGCCGAAACCGGTTTGGCTCAGTGGATAGAGTGTTGGCCTGCGGACTGAAAGGTCCCAGGTTCGATTCCGGTCAAGGGCATGTACCTTGGTTGTGGGGCACATCCCCAGTAGGATATGTGCAGGAGGCAGCTGATGGATGTTTCTCTCTCATTGATGTTTCTAACTCTCTATCTCTCTCCCTTCCTCTCTGTAAAAAATCAATAAAATATATTTTTTTTAAAAATCACTTAGCCTCACCAGTCAGGAGGCTCAGACATACTCCTATCTTCAGTTGGTGCCTGATATCAGAGGAGACTTTCTAGATATTCTGAATCCACTTGAATTCGCCCTATAAACTTATTGGAAATGTCTGAGTTACTGGCTCTGAATAAATTCCCCAAAGTTTGCCAGAAACCATGAACAAATCCAAGTTTTGGGGGTCTACACATTTCAGGGCCCACTTAGGAACACAAAGATTTCTCTGGTAAAGCTGCCAGAATGGAGGAAAGGTTGTGAGGTGCCGCTAGCACAATTTCCAGGACACAAAACGCTATTAGCATTCAGGGCTGCTGAGGACCAAGGTGAGAAGCTCCCAGAGGCGGGAAACCCCCTTCCCTTTAGAAATCAAGGCATTTCATCTTTCTCACCCTGCAGTCTCCCCATCAAGACTACAAATATCAGCTTGCCTGCCTGCCATTGCTCAAAATAATAGAAAACGCCCCCATCTCCATAGTCCCCTAGAATCTTGGCACCGGAGATCCATTCAGACAAGAGAATTCTGGGGCTAAGTCCCAATCCTCCTCTACCCCCGTACCTAGGGAGGCCTTTACAATTTGGCTTCTTTGACCAAACATAAATCCTTTTTCCTTTGGGCCTGGGGTCAGCGGGCAGAAATAGCCAAGGAAAGGCTTGCTCTCTGTAACCACCTGCTTGTGGCTTCTAAGAGTGTTCCAATCTGATGTTTGCGGCTGACCTGAATGCTAATGGCAGGGGCCTTTGAGAGCAGTGGCTCTTGGCACCTCTGCCCCACTTGGACCTTCCTGCACCAGTGAATCTGCAGAGGGTGAGACAAGGAGGACCACTACACTCCTCCCATTTTCCAAGTTTAATGTATAGGATGAATGGAGGGTTACAACTGGTGAAACAATCTCTAGGTCTCTAAAGAACAGTGTTTCTCAACCTGTGGGTCGCGACCCCTTTGGGGGTCGAACGACCCTTTCACAGGGGTCGCCTAAGACCATCAGAAAACACATATATAATTACATATTGTTTTTGTGATTAATCACTATACTTTAATTATGTTCAATTTG